TTCTTGCAACCACTTCTTAGTGCGGTTCGAGGTGTGGCACGGAGCCCCATCTTGTTGAAATACAACATTTGGCTTCGGATCGTACTGTTCTTTGATCCACGGAAGAACATACTTACTTAAAATCCCGATGTAGACCTCCGTGTTGACCTTGTCGCCTTCTGGAATGAACAACGGGTCCATATTTTGCCATCGGAAGCCACCAATCCAAACACCATAACGCTAGGGACGAGGGGACGAATCTATCTACGATGTAGAAAAGATTGTGTTTTGCTGTGGCTAGCTGCGCGCACGCTGAGTAGATAGAAAGAAGATAAATGACGATTCTTAAGATTTCCTGCAAAAAGATGATGCGCGATGCAAGTAGATGCGACAAATGAAAGAAGATTTTTCGAAGATTGATTCGCTAGTGTGAGATTTGTTGAGCATCTAAACTTGAGATTTAGATGTGTCGCCCCCCTCGGGTCAGATACACGTTCTTGTGCTCGTCGGCCACGTTTCTTACCGGAAGAGAACTAATATACCGGTCGGTTCTGGAATTTTATACGGGATCGACGGTAAACACGATTACCGGATTTTTTCGCTTAAGGAAGTTCAAGATTTTCTTGCATCGTTCAAATCGTAGCTCCCGGATGCGGTTGGTAATCATGTGAGTTTTTTTTTCGTGTCTTTGACTTCTCCCCGCAATCTTCCTTTACGATCTTCCGTGCCGTAAAGTCACTGATCCCGTGTTCCTTTGCCATATGTTCCTTATTGAACGCACTGGATTCACCCGAATCTTCCTTTTGATAGCAGCAATAACCCTCGGAACCCGAGCTGACCTCAGACGACCTGTGGCCACCTTCGCGGATAGTTATCCTTTCTTTTCTCGGTCTAAAACCCCTTTGACGGTCCACCGGGACACTCCCACGGCGATTGAAATGTCTTTTTGCGACATTTGCGCGTGGGAAAAATCACGAATACGCTGCCACTTCGTCATGGTACAGCTGTCAAACTAAGTAAATAATTTTCTTTTATACACAGCCTACTACGGTATGAACTATAGGTTGCGTGCATGCAAAGAAAACCAAGGCATTGTATGCACAGGTGAAACGGGAACCTTATTTGTACGATGGAGCAAACATTATCACGCATTCGGTATAATAAATGTTATTTGTTAACCGCAGCAGGAGCTGTGTTTTGTGTAGGAATAGGAATTTGAGTGTTTATACTCTTTAGTATGACGCGCTTGATGTAGATGGCTCACAGCGACTCAAGAAGAGCTACTGATTCCGATCAATAGCGGTGCGGCTTCTTTCTCCTTATATGGATGCTCATGTGGGCTGTAGCTCACTGCTTGCAGGCAGCTTTTCGTTGTGTACAGGAGAACACCACCACTCACCACGCGGTGATTGAATAAACACCGTTTGGTGAGACCGGATGGAATCCAACTTTGAAATCTGTGTTGTGAAAACGCTTTTCGCAAGCAACCGGTGATAATTCTAATTGTCATAGCAACAGTTGCACATTCGTGCAATTTTCAATAGTAACATTTTGAAGAAAAAATGATAAAATATTAATTCAACAGATGCGTAGACATATTTATGATCGATTGGTGATAAAATTATTGAAATTGGTTGAGGAGCAGCTGAGTTATTAACGTTCAAAATTTTTCATAATTTTGTTCCATGTTCCATTTTCGGTTTTCACAAAGCGCTACCCCATATAGAAATCACAAAAAATCAAAAGATCGATCTACCAAAGATCGATTCTTTGGTATCGATTTAATCAGTGGATCGATTCTAGAAACAAATATAACATCGATCCGTCAAGATTGATCTTTCTCTGAAGATCGTCCAATCCTACAACAGAATGGCCGCGGCCAGAGTAGACGCGATTCTTTTGAATTGGTCGCGTCGCATCGCGAATCGCGTCTACCCTGGCCGTACCCAATGATGAAACGATCCATGAACGAGCGTGATGAATGCGTTCAAACATATCATTCCGCACTCTTCCATCCCATAGCGTCATTTTAATCATACGTCCTATCTCCCTCACTTCGCGTTCTGTGCTTTGGTCGGTTCATAGACGTACATACTTCGATTTTCATAACACGAACCGCATTCGTGTATTCGGAGCTTTCCGAAATCTTTTTCGATCTTTCTTGCGTGTATCAGTCATTTCAGTGCCAACATTTCAAAGAGGCGTAATTGCTTTTGTAAACAATGGCTTTAGCTGTCGATTTCTCGCAACTGAAAGCTCACCTCTTCAAATTAACAATGCTAGATGGTAGAGGAAACGTTCCCCTACTTGGTGGTGTAAATAACTGTGAGCTTTTATTCATGAGAAATCGAAGGCTAAAGCCATTGTTTACAAATGCAATTACGCCCCTTTGAAATGTTGGCACTGATTTGTTTATTTCATGAAGGTCGACTTCTAGTGCTGCCAAATGCATTTTGCCGACATCAAACTAATTAACGGTAAGTTTATGATTAATTCATTACTAAAGGGTGATACGGTCAAAATTTGGTCAAGGGAAAACGCGTGTAAATCGATGAAATCGTTTATTTAAAAAATCAAATTAAATTTCTTTTTCAAGTTCAATTAGTATAAAATTCAGGAAAAATATTCAGTTAGGCTTCCGCTTTTCCAAATCCGAATTGCCGGGCCTTACGCTTGACCCCTGCCATCAGATTTTGTACAGCCACCTTGTCTACCTTCTTCGCCGCAGAAAGCCAGTTTGCCTTGAACTGCTGCTCGCCCTTAGCAGTTTTTTTTTGTCTTCTTTAGGTTCCGCTTGACAATAGCCCAGTATTTCTCAATTGGGCGGAGCTCTGGCGTGTTGGGAGGGTTCTTGTCCTTGGGAACCACCTGCACGTTGTTGGCGGCGTACCACTCCATGGCCTTTTTACCGTAATGGCAAGATGCCAAATCCGGCCAAAACAGTACGGAACAACCGTGTTTCTTCAGGAAAGGCAGCAGACGTTTATTCAAACACTCTTTCACGTAAATTTCTTGGTTGACAGTCCCGGAAGCTATGGAAATGCTGCTTTTCAAGCCACAGGTACAGATGGCTTGCCAAACCAGATATTTCTTTGCGAACTTTGACAGTTTCATGTGCTTGAAAACATCTGCTACCTTTCCCCTTCCTTCTGCCGTATAAAACTCCTGTCCCGGAAGCTGCTTGTAGTCGGCTTTGACGTAGGTTTCGTCGTCCATTACCATGCAGTCAAACTTCGTCAGCATCGTCGTGTACAGCCTCCGGGATCGCGCTTTGGCCGTCGTATTTTGTTTATCATCGCGATTTGGAGTCACTACCTTCTTGTAAGTCGATAGTCCGGCTCGTTTTTTGGCTCGATGCATGGTTGTAGACGATACACCCAGCTTATTTGCGGCATCTCGGAGAGAGAGGTTAGGGTTTCGCTTGAAACTACCGGCAACTCTCTTTGTCGTCTCAGCGGCTTCCGGTTTTCGATTTCCCCCCGATCCAGACTTCCTGGCTGTCGACAAACGTTCCCCAAACACTTTAATTACATTTGTAACGGTTGATTTGGCAACTTTTAGCGATTTTGCCAACTTTGCGTGCGAGTAGCTCGGATTTTCGCGATGCGCGAGCAAAATTTTGATACGCTGCTCTTCTTGCTTGGACGGCATTTTGACAACTGAAGAGTGAATTCCAAAATCAAAATAGGAGCAACATTCTACACACACACACCTTCAAAATGAGGGGTGTTCAGGTTTTTTAAATGCAAAATTGAAAGAAATACGTCAAGTTGATAATGACCAAATTTTGACCGTATCACACTTTATCTTATCATATATACTACACAAGGGTATTTAAATCTTATTGTTTTCGAAAAGAGTACGAGATATATTTTTCCAGAAGTATATATGAATCATTATTCAATCATAAAAGTGCTACTCCATGCAATGAAAAATAAATCCTCCCAAGCAAGGCCATTATCTTAAATTCTCATTTAGTTAAATAGTTCTCTGAGCTAATCAAACTGTTAAGAACACAATAAGGAACAATAACTAGAAGTACATCAGAAAAATTCATCATCTAATATTAATGCTGGGCTTAGAGAAGGTAGGGCAATTAATCAACTCAGTTGAAACCATGTCATTCAACTGACTTGATCAACTCCCTCGGAAAAAAAAGTTGTACCAGGCTCAATTGTTGAAGCCAATAAAAGATTAATTTTTAATCTGTTTTCAGTTGTAGTGGGTTCATTCTGGAAATATTCAGGAATTATCCAACAAAAACGATAGCCTCTTATATAATGTTACTATAACTTAACTTTGAGCTGTGCATCTCCATGGAAATATTTCCCAAGGATTGCCCGGTTGTGTATGGTCAGGAAGCAATAATGAATTCCGAGTCCTTCCATTTATGCAGCCACACCTTTTTCGTGCTTCCGTGCAGCGTCGATGAACCTGTGACGCCAGTTTCCACCTAAAGCTAAAGTAGTGCTCTTATCGGTCGGTAGAATGTTCCCAGTAAATAGCGAAATTTTCTTTTACCTTCTGCTACTGCATAACCGCTTTTCACATCTACTATTATGTTAATGCAAATAAGGGTCTTTGCCTAATTTGCTTGCAATTAGTGGAAGGTGGACGTATTCGGAATAATCGACTATATTGTAGCGGTTAGTATTTATCGCCGTCGTTAATGTTGCCACTTTTAGGATATTTCTTGGAATGAGGAAAATGAAATGATATTCTATAGAACACTTGAATAATTCATGATGCGGACTACCATTTTTGCAGTGAGCACAAGTGCAGGGGATCTATTCCCATTGACTCGAGTGACAGTGCTAAATGAAGTTTACCTTGACGACAATCTTCTCCACTCATCGAAATACTCCTTGTGAATTATCGCTTTCCTTCTTTATTGACAGGTAGCATTTACGCTTACACCTACTAGGCAGGTGCACATCATTTGTGCAGTAATGTAATTCGATAGCGTTTCCATCGAATCAATGATTGCTCATGTTTTCCCATTTTCTTTTCTCTATTTTTAGGTCAACTTGAAACCTTGGATCGGAACGGATACATATCAAATCGAATGCCTCGTTTCTACATATATACAAGTAGCGTAAGTTCAGAAGGTGTAAGCTGTAATCAGTAGCTTTAAAATCGATGAATTAGTTCTGAAGTCAGAAAAAATCGATTTCAATACATATCAGATAAAGTGGCTTTCCGTGATGAGTGAATGTGTACGTGCAGTGTGGTGTAAAGTGTAGGTCCAAGTAGGAAGCTATGTAAGATAAAAATCAAATTGCATCTAATGAAAAAGTGCCAGCAAAAGTTTCGTCCGTGAGCTACAGTAAGAGAGTGTGTTTTCACAGTTTCATGTGTATGTGTGATTGTAGTTCGAAGTTCGAAGTAAGTGGTGTAATAACAGAAGGAGAAAAATCAATCATCAAATTGCATCCCGCCACCCCCGGTGCAGTCGCTTGTTGCCGCCTACAACGAGTCAACTTCGCCCGATGCATACCCACGGCAGATGGAATCAGCGGAAACGGAAATACTAGGAGATCGTTTCTGCTGCTCACACCGATGCCCACAAAACGACGCGGTGATCAATTGAGGGATTGTTCCGTTTCGTTGCCACTGGACATTCTGTAAGTGTTTCACTTGTCCCGAAAGGGAGGCCTGCATTTTAATCAAATTACTTTTTCATAACCTATCTGTGGGCTGACATCGAAGTGAGGCTAGCATGTTCGATTGACACATATGTGAAACCAAATGAGACGTAGTACGAACTTTAGGGTTTAATGGAATTTTTATGAAATATGCTTTTGTCGTAGCCCGTATAACTTAGGTTCATTTATTTTTATGCAAAAAAACAATTCAATGATAGGCTGTGGCATCGTTGAGCTTACCGCTTGTGGACTCTAAGTAATCCTATGATAGGCTATGCAAATGAGTGAAAGTGTCCAAAAAGACCCTCAATTGTGTACATTCCAGGATTAATTCCTTTTTCTCATAAAGAGTCCGTTGTGGGGCACACCGCTTTCATATGGCCATCTATCAGAGCATGTGACGAAACCTTATGCCAGCATGTTGACCGTCGATTAATTGCTAGCAGATATATTTTTCTAGTTCAGCAATCTAAGCTGCAAGTAGCGATGGGCTAGTGCCAAATGACGATTTCAATTTGACCTTTTATTTCTGTACCTGCACGGTTCTAGTAGGTACCGAGCTACCCATAAAAAAGCACATTCAGGAACTCTTGCCGGTCGTCTGGCTGTTAATACCCTTGGGAGCCATTTATGCTCTCCGTTTTGGCTTTTTTGGCTTCCTAAGGCCTAGCAAAGCAAAAATCCCTACCTACATGTTTTCATCTCATTTTCCGGAAGCACTCGCTTATTGAGTTTCTCGTCTTTCCACCTTGGCCCGAGAAACAATATGATGGTGACGGCTTGCTTTTGGGTAAGGTACGACAGGGTAATATGCACCCCGGGGCAGAACACAATTTTGAGCTTTTTCAGTGGGTAACTAAAGTTATTTAACTGTTGTTTAAGTAACATTGCTTACTAAAAAGCTCTGATGGTAACAGTTTGGTGGCTAAATAGATCTAAACCGGTGCGTTTTTGGCTGTCTTCCCCTATTTTTGGGTGCATCAGCCAGCTCAGTTTTCGAACAATTCACGTGAAAATGAATCAAGTCCAAGGGCTGCAGCACAGCACAGCGGCACTCTGTGTGCTTCGGTTATAGACAGAAGGTAGATTGAAATCAATATCCATTATATGTGTATAACAAGAAATGCCGAGAAGCAGAACTGGTGCCTTCGGCTACAATACCATTCAGTTGCATGATCTTTGAACAGGAAATTGGAATCACGAAATGGTAATGAAATTAGGAAACCGAATAATTTACTGTCGAAGCGATTGCGAATCGTTGTGAGAATCAATTGATATATGGTGAACGGAATGCCGGTGATTTGGGTTTTATAAAACCTCCAATTGAGGAAACAACATAGAGTTAGCGCGAAACGTTGCCAACAAATTATTCATGTAAAGACACATACTATTATGTGGAATCATGGAACTTGAAATAAGAAAATTCATTCTGCACAAACACCTGGAGAACCTGGAGACCACGAGAGTTAGGTATCCAATTAAAATAATACTATCGAAAGTCCTATAAAACGATTCGATGCAAATGCTGAAAAACCGCATAAAACTGTGTAGTTTCTCTTATTCAACTTTCTGATGTTTGTAGGATAAGTGTAGTAATCTAAACGAATACAAAAACAGCAAAAAGGTCATAGCATGAGCATGAGCATGATTGACCACCCACGGTTGCAACTCTATTATTGCCAGATCAGCTGTAATTACACAGAGAACCAATAGACGATGCTTGGGACTAGAAATCATCCTCAATGTGTAGAAATTGGTGATCTCAAACTAGGCAATACCAGCACAGGTCAAGAAAGCAATGAGTAGGAATGTGTTGTCGTGACACTCGCTTTGATGGAAGCCGAGAACACCTCTGCACTGCCACGAGGAATCACTGGGATATTTGGTAATAGGGTTGGGATTGCAGCAGGTTTCGTTTTGGTAAACGATAAGCTGACTTGATTTCCTAAAGATCATATAACGCGAAGGAGCTTGGGATTGAATCCATGATCTTATGCTCCTTTTAATATAACACACCAATGATCGATTTGATGTTATTCCAATATATTGACATTTACAAATAAAGCAATTAGGAATCTTGAATGTGGAGGGGCTTGAGATTAAACTTTCGATGTTCTACTCAGCAAGCAAAAATGGTCGCTCTAAGGCCACCAAGCCCCTCATATCACAGCATACAAGCTACGACCGCGTTGTTATTCACAAAACACACGATAATCAAGCAATGTTAGTATAAGCTTCCTTAATATTATAGGACCTGGGATTTATTCAAACTCAAACTTGACGACGGTGCCCTTTACACAAGAATAAGCCTCTACGACCGATAATCTTTTAAACTTGCAGACAAAAAAGCTACAAAAAAAATGCTTATGCCTTCAATGAATTCTACTTTTACGCAACGTTCGTTGTTTCGATTTGGTCCTTACGTAAGACGGGAAAAAATCCATAAAACTCTAACATTTTGTTTTTGGGCTATCATGCCTCTAACTGTTTTCTAAGACTGGCGCGATGATTTTACCAGCGAACAAATATTGCACACTTTTTAAGCTATCTTGACTGAACTCTATTGCGTTTTAAAACGACTGATTACCCCTTCATATTTCACCGGACCCCGATTATGCGTCAAACTACCGCATCAAAACCACCAAACCATATAATCAAACACGAACCGCCCTCATGATCGTGTTACGGACACACCTAACAACGCATCAAAAACTAGTCTGCTAGTGTCAAGCTTTCATGTGCGATCGCAACATTTATTTTCTTTACGAATCATGCTTCACCATGATAAAAAAAATCATAATAAATTATCCGTAGGCAGCTAACCGTAAAAAACCAAGAAACATGCCCCTCTGGCAAATGGGAAACCATGAAAATAAGTCAAGACTCTCCGAAGGGACGCGTCCGCTCTCTCAAATAACGCATCTGACTCCAATCCAGCGCAAATCTGAACGAAATCTCAAATTATACTAAATGTTTCGATAATGTTTGGAATTCTGGTGTTGTTCATGTTAACACCAAAGATAGGGGCTTGGTGTATATCTTCTCGACAATCCAATTAAAATTTTTTATTCAATGTTTGTCAAAAAGTTATAAAAGCATTACCTTGCTCTATTAAAAAAATGTGAATACCTTGAAAAATTACGGAACTTTGGTCTTTTCAAAGATGATTTCCAATCATACGCTGGAATCATGTTTGTATATATGCAAGCCTGGATAACATAGTCGCTAAGAAAGGCTGTTCAACTTGATACCGTTCTGATCAAACCTAATTTGCATGTGCATGTGAATTTACGGCATGACCTGGAAAAGTTTACCTATAGTAACCTCGTATTAAACATTCATCATGTAAGGGAAATTTAATTATTGCTGCGTTTAAGGACCAAGCGCTCACCTCACGCAGAAAGGTGCTTTTTAGAAATATATATATATATGGCAATAACATGTTTGAACACACCGACAGTAGTGGCTATGCGGTGGTGTCCATTGTTGCTGAACATGACAACTTTTGTTCATACACAAGTTGGAAACTATTTTACTTCTTGATGGAGAACGTGAACAGAGCTTGGTAGAGGAAATACAGTGTGTCCAACTTGCAAAAACCGATGCAACAATCTCCCGACATGCCATTAAATTGTTGCATAGCCCAACTGAAACACCGAATAAACGATGCACATACATATAGGAAGCAGCAACACCAGTAGCAGTAACAGCAAATGTATTTAAATGACCCAGTATTTTAGAAGCAACATGTTGTTTACGCTCTTGATATGTAGAACGTTTATACGTTGGATGCTTACATATAGCAAGCCCCTTCCATCCCTAACCAATCGAGCGCAAGGTGTTAGGAGGATGTTAGTCTGTTGCATCACATGGTTCAAGTGTGTTTGCAGTGAAATGCGCAAATATTGTTAAAGTTTTGCATGTTGTTACTAACAACAAAAATTGGATGGTTCAGTTCATGCAGGTTACAGCTGAAAACTGGAAAAACTCACTAGTGAAATAAAGTCGATTTTCGTTCTTTACGTTATAAAACACAATATCGGAAGTAGTGCGCATTTTAGTGCATCATTGTACATTAGCTCTCAAAGATAGAAATAATTAGTGAGCAGAAAGATTGTATTTGTCAATTAACAGCTCATTGTATAAAGAAAATAACTCCAAGAGAGAAATAACTGATGAACATTTCCGATTTGATATTTTGAAAAACTTTTACCTATCAAAGAATAACTCATGATTCAAAGAAGAAGTCAATTCAAAGAGAGACATGATTTGTGAATATTCCATGTAGATTGTTTAATAGTTAAACGGCCATTCCATAGCAAAACGATATAGTGGGTTTCAGAATTTCGTAAACATTGGCAGTTTCTCGCAGTTTTATTTCTTATCGCAAAATAGCAGACCCTTGTTTTTTTATTATTTTTTCATTAGGGTAACCGAAAAATCGATTATTCCAAAAGGTTTTTTTTCTTCAAAAATTCAAATTCAACTTTTGAACCACTCAATGATCAAAATTTCAAAAATTATGATTTTTTAATGAAAAACATTGATTGAATTTGTTTTTTTAAATGGTTTTCATGGTTTGTAGTAGACCTGTGCGCCAATCAAAATATTTTCGGCGGCAGCATGATATGTTATTTTCTGCTGGAGGCAGCGGCGTGGCGGCGTGGGTCGGCGTGAGTTTATATCTAATGATTTAAAAAGAAAAAAAAAAACTTTCCAAACCAATCGCACGTGGACATGGACAAAAATGCTACCCACATATGAGTTCAGATTACTCAAAATCGCTTAAACCTAGGTCACTAATAGAGTAAATTTTCCAAATTTTTCCCGCGGAAATCTTCTCGAATATGGAGACAAATTAAGAAACCAGTACATAAGTTAGAAATGTGCTAGTAGACAGACTAAAACCAGAAATTTTGCTCATCCTACACAGAAAAAAATAAATGTTGATATCACATCAAAGTGGATGCACTTCAATG